AATAATAATAATAATAAAAAAAAAACTGAAAATAAAATTTTGGTCGCAGAGCAAAAAAAATTCAATTGAATTACAATCAACTTATATTTCGGCAGTTCCCATCAACGACGTCAAAAACTTGATCAGTAAAATAACAAGTGTACTATTTTGCCAATATAGTAATAAGAGGGAAATTCCCCAAATATCGATCTCGAGGACTGCGTAGGAAATACAAGCTCTATAATAATTTAGTTGAACAAAAGCGCTTGGAGTTTTAAAATTGTTTGGTTTAATTATAAAAATATTTGCAAGTAATAGAGGAAGATTGACTAAGTGGTTTTAAAATATATGAGTAACATGCTAGGGGAAGTGTGTGATCCGACTCTGTAACAACTCTGAATTAACACTGCAACAACTTATTGTAACTAACAAATTATCGATTCTTTAGAATGTTTACTCCTAAGTCCTTAGTGAGAAAACCTTTAATCATTCACCCTAATTCCTATGTCCATAGAGAATTATAAATGAAATTAAGCAATCAATCATCAAGAATATTCCGGTTCCTATAGGGTATCCCTAGTCCTAGGTGATATCTACTACAGAATGATCAAAACTAAAGCATTAACAACGACGATCCAGCCTTATCGTTAATAAAAAATCAAACCCTGTTGGTCCGACAAGGAAAGCATTAACAATAGCTAGAGATCAAATCGGTTATGAAAACAAAGGAATTGTTATTGCAATACTAGTATCAGAGTCATTACAAATTCAAATCAAGGATACCCCATAGCATTGGGGGGGGGGGGGGGGGTTTAACTATTCATATTATTCGAAGAAAATACAAAGTAAAAACTGGACATTACAAGATAATAGGATTCTTTGATCTTCAATTGCTTCCGCTCATGAAAACCTTCAGTTCTCCAATCACCTCGATCTCTCCAATCTTGATCGTATAATTCTTCTGTGGCCAAAAAGTCCCTTTTTCCTTCTCAAAATATGACTTAAATACTCCAAGGTCCAACAGTAATAGGAAAATACCTAAAATATCCTTAGGGATCACACAGGTCACAAAAACAAAAAAATTGGAAGATGAAGCGCTTCAGCCAACACGGGCCGTGTTGGCCCCCTAGATGCCTGATAAAAAACACTGCATGCTTCAGAGTTGCTGACACAGGCACCTGTGTCAACCCACTGTCTAACACTCAGTTTTCTTTCTCTTGGTACCCCCTGAAGAACATGAGCAATAGCTCATTATATTAGAGAAGCATGAGAAGAAATTTAAGAAAGAAAAGAACAAAGAAAAAGAGGCGAAAAATAAGTCCATTGCTCTTGTGGCTTCTAGCTCCAAGTGCTCAACAAAAGAGCATGATGAAAGTGGATATAGTGACAATGAAAAATTGAATGATGAAGAAATAAGGTTGTTTGTCAAACGGTATCATAACTACATGAAAAGAAACAAATTAAAGCACTCTGACAACAATCTCATCAACTTTAAAAGACAAGTTGACTCCTTAAAGCATGATGAGAATAAGAAAGGAAAGTTCAAGAGTTCATATTTTAATTGTGGTATACCCGGACACTACAAGCCGGATTGTCCATAACTTAAAAGCGATAAAGACAAGGGTAAACACAAGAAGTCTAGAAAGACTAGAAGAGCATACGTAGCTTGGGAAAATGATAGTGAATCCACAAGTGAAGGTTGCTCAAGTGAAAGTGACAAAGAAGAAAATATTTTTCTCATGGGCCATCATCATAAGAAAAAAAATGTAAGTCATTCTAAATATGACCTTAATGATGAAATGTATTATTCTGAATTAAAAGTTTTTTCGGGAATCTATATGGTAACACACTAGATACTTTTAAAAGGTTAACTTCAAATAAGAAAATATTTTCGTACTATAAAGCTAAAATTCTAGAAACGGAAAAACAAATGGAAGCACTTAAGCAAACTATGTTAGATGTTAAAAAAAATAAGATTGAGGATGAAAAACATTCTTGGTTTGGTTGTGAGATTTGTCATATTTGACAAAAAGAGGTTAATACTCTAAAGGCCAAATTAAGCAAGACTTTAGAACCAAAAGTCACTTTAGCCGTTGATTCAACAACATTTAAAATACCTTTATATGAACCATACATAAAATACGATTTTGTTGCAAAAGAATCAATTAGCTAAAGTCATTCTCATCGTTATTTGATTTATCACAATTGTTATAAGAAAGACCACACCATTATTAAATGCAAATTTAGGAGATTTTTGGTTCTTAAATGTGTATTTCAATGGTTGCACAAATGCAACATGTTTCCACTTACCCTCAAGGACCAATGAAAATTGAATACCTAATATTATTAGAAAGATTTTTGCATAAACTGAAGTTCGACGAAGACCATTGAAGGAAGCGTTCGACGGTTAGAGTTCAATTGAGGTTGATAACCATTTTTTGACCTTATCCTTTGCTTGGGACACATAAAGCATTTTTAGGTGACGAAGTACATGTAGTGGAGAACGTGACGCATTTTGGAGAAATAACCGTTAGAGGACGGTTATTTTTGATGTAGTATAAATAGAACCCCATTCAGAATTAGAGTGTTCAAAAAATTGTACAAACTCTACGTTATACTCCCTGTACCTGTGTGTGTGAGAAAATAATACTTTTGAGAGAATGTACGTTTGAATAACTTTTTTTTTTACAATCAAAGTCATTTAAATTTCAGTCATTTACCTTTACTTGTCATTTACTTCCTTGTTATTTATCTTCAAGCCATTTATCTATCTACAATACATTTCTTTCTCCACTTAAAAGAAATCATCACGTTTTCTCAATATCACGTTTTCTCAATAACATTGGAGAATACTTGAAGAACATTGTGTAAATGTTCATGATAATTAAAACCAAGAACTATATTAACAACACATTTCCTAGGATCAATCTAGTCGATTCTGTAAGTGACCATAGACTTAGCAACTTTGGAAGACTAGCAGTTGTTTGCCATTTTCGATGGTAAACAGATGTGTCACCATATTACGTTGAGATGATCATGTCTTTTATGCGCGTAATCCAAATAAAAAAATATATAAAAAGTACTTCCTTTATTTTTTTTATCATATGCTATTTTGATAAAAATATTTGTATTTAATTTTAATTGATTTTATTATATCAATAAATCATTATTGTTATTTTTTTATTATATTCTTAATTATTGATTTTTATAATTTTTATTAATTTTAATTTTTTATTTAATAATTTAGTGGTTCAAATTTCACCTCTTAAAAGTGAATAAATAGGATGTAGGATATTCAAACACACACTTATTTTTGATATACACAACTATTAACTAAGGATGGCAAAATAGATTTATTGGATGGATATGAATTGAATTGTTAATGGATGAATCAAAACAATCCATTAGTCCATTAACAATCCACTAAAATTTTCTTAAAATTATCCAATCCATCTATTAACATATTTTTAATGGATAGATATCAATTTTTTGTATTTTCGAGATAAAAAATTATTTTTTTGTACTTTCGAAAAATATCAATTTTTTTCGGAAAAAATCGACTTTTTGTTTTTTTTAAAAAATCAATTTTTTAATTATTGAAAACAATCGGTTATTTTTTCGAAAAAAATCAATTTTTTTTTCGGAAAAAAATTGGTTTTTTAGGAAAATTCGACTTTTTGTATTTTCTAAAAAATTGATATTTTAATATTCAAAAAAATTTGGTGTTTTTTTTGAGAAAATTTGACTTTTTGGTATTTTCCAAAAAATTGATATTTTAATTTTAAAAAATCGGTTTTTTTTCGGAAAAAAATCAATTCTTTTCTTAAAAAAATCAATTTTTAATTATTTTAAAAAAATAAATCTAACGGAAATAAAAATAATCCATTGAATCCTTAAAATATATTGGATGGATATAATCAATTCATACATATAAATGGATGTATTTAATCCAATCCATTAACTTTCTTTTTACGTGGTGAATGAATTGGATAAATTTTTTGATGAATGAATTAAATGATTTAATTTATCTTCCTTTCTTTTTCTAGTACCATTAATAAATAACAATTAACAACCATCATTACATTTTTTTAATATCCATAAAATCAATTTATAACAAAAAAGGAAGGGAAGAAACAATTAATCAATCTTCACCAAAAAAAATTAATCACACGATCATTAAACATTATGTGATATTTTCTTCTTAAATTTTTTATTTATACAAAATATTTTATTTGAGAGTGCGTCAAAGTAAGTACTTTTTCTAATCCCAAAGTCAAACAAGAGAGAACAAAAATGACTTGTAGCGCAAGTTAGAGAAAAACTCAAACAGCAACAAATCTTTTGTTTTCTCATTTCGCCATTCATTCCTTAACTGCCTTCAATACTTACATAGTCTCTTCAGTGAGGTTTCTTGGAAAGCAAGATTCTTCGAATTTCTTTCAAACTTCCATTGATCCACGACCCAGTTTCTTAGAAACCTTCCCTTTTCACTTGGTGGACCCACACAGAAAAGTACACAAGAGTCCGCATTGAAAACAGTAACTTGCTCGAGAAGAAAATAACGGTTGCGCCACGAAGAAGATCAGAAGAAGAAGAAGAAGAGATTCATGCTCAGTTGATTCAACAATCGTGCTCTATTTTTTCTGATATTTCAGTATGTTGTTCTTGTAACTTTTCTTTTCTGATTTTTTTAACATTTCTTAGTATTATCATTTTTAGGGTTTGTTTGCTTTTTGCTGTTTAGTTTTCACTTTAGATGATAGTTCGTTTTTGTTCTTTCACTTTTTCATTTAGTACTTATAGTAGAAAAGATTCTGAAAATTAGGTTTAGATGATTTGGAAATGCAGAAGAAAAATCCGGAGATTTTGTGGTAAAAAAAGTAGATCAGATGAATCATAGATGAACTATAGTTTTTGATAGAATATTAGGACGTTGCTTAGTCGAAGTCAATTAACCAAATTCATCTATCTGTTCACAGTTCTTGAAAAAGTGGTGAAAACAACATTTGGAATCAAAGAACATGGAGCAAGAGAATTCTCAAACGATTGAGGCTACTACTTTTCATGATAGCATAGTGGATCTTTCTTGCCACTATCAGTTTGAAAATGGGTCATCTCAGTTTTTGTTTTTAGATCTTGATCACAATGAAAAAAATGGAACTTTCGTTAACCACTCCCTATGCTTCTCTGTTGAAAGCTTTGTTCAAACACTTGCTTCATGCAATGGCTTGATCCTCTTATCTGGTTATGTCACTGATCAACCCTGCTACTATGTGGTGAATCCTCTTGCAAAAGATTCGATCACGATCCCTCAACCTTGTATTCAAGAACATGTGATTAGAGTTGGTTTAGCTTCCAATGATTATAACCAATTTAAGGTTGTTCTTGTTGAAGCAAAATCTTCCCAATTGATGAATGAAAATGGACTAGAGTTTCATGTATTTTCTTCTGTCACAAGCGAATGGAGTAAGGTAAACCATTTCGTCGATTTAACTTTGCCTTCTTTGCCAGAATTCGAGTTTAAGGAACTATCTACACAACCTCTTTACTCAAATGGTTCAATCCATTGGGAAATGGGTGGAAAATTATTGGTGTATCATGTCGAAAAAAACACCTGTGAACTAATTGAACTGCCAAATTTTTCCAAAGACTGGCCATGGCAATCGTCGATGATGTATCGCCGATGTTTGTGCGAATCCAGAAGCTGTGTTTACTATTGTTACACTGATTTTGATGGTTTTCACGTTTGGGAGCTTCTTAAGGAGAAATATGATCTCGGGCCATTCTGTGATTCCGAAAACTTTAGGTGGAAATTAGTCCATACTATCATGCATGAGACTTTCGCCTCTACGCATCACGAGTTTAGCGACACATTATTCGAATGGGAGCCGCTTACACCGATTGCTTATACCAAACAAGCACATACTATATATTTGCAGATTCCAGGTGCTGTTTTTGGTTATGATTTTGATACAGAAACTTTGAGGCTAATTTGTAGATATTCATATCCTGATATGAACTTCAACTGTTGCACATTTCTCTGTTCAACTAGTTTTGTGACTCATAATGTGCCTAGAGAAAAAGACTTGGTGACTGATGGAGAAAGAATGGAGCTGAATTTACCAATAGAAGATGTTGAGATTTTGCTTGTTTAGATTTAGTTTTGGTTATTCTGTTGTCAATAGAATCCATTTTATGCTACTAGCTATTTTCACTTTTTTTTTTGTATAACAGTTGTGGAACTTGTTTGGAACTTTATGTCATTAGACAGTATCATCTTTTTTTTTTGAAATGTTGAAATAATGTTGAAATATTGTCTTGCATTTTATGAAAAAATTGAGATGAGCCTAATTCTTTAAGATTTTGAGTTATAATGTGGTTTCTAATTCACATGTGTGATGCTCAAACCTCATTTTTCTACCATACACAAGAGTCTTCCATGTCCTGCCTGGGCTGAATAGACTGCAACAGATCCAAAATCTGATCCATACCAATAAGCTTGCTTTACAAAAATTCACACACAGTCCTTAAACTATTTCAAAGCCACATAAAATTGTTTTAATGCTTCAAAGGTTCAAAGGTTCTTAATGCAAATTGTACAAGCTCTGAAATTTCATGTCTTTAGTATATTTAGGGGAAAAGTCTCAATAAGGTTTTGTTGTTTGTCTCTTAAGCTTTTGTTTCATTATTACTGTTTATTGAGTCTCATCTCCTATTGCACGTCTTTGAATTAAGTTTTGAATCCAATCGTTTTAGCATACATAATTTATGCGTGTTTATTTGAATATGAACATTGTGTTTTAAGTAAACTAGTTGAGTTAATGACACAAGAACCATATTTTATGTTGATTTAAGTTAGGTGACAAGTGAAATCTCAAAGTATTTTGAAAAACTGAAAAAATTGAGATTTCTTATGTGTGACTCGAATCACTCGCGAACTATGACTCGAATCAAATCAAACAGAGGAAAACAAGAAATTTTTGTATCTATGACTCGAATCACAATTTTAACTTGATTCGAATCTTGCAACACTATGACTCGAATCACAAGTTGCACATGATTCGAATGACACAAATCTTGTTGGCCATTGCTTAATTTGATTCGAATCACACTTTACACATGACTCGAGTTACACAAATTTTCACATCTTTCTATTTGACTCTATCCAAATTTATTGATAATCAAGGTTTCTACATGACTCGAATCATGAGCTTGTATGACTAGAATTATAGATATAACTTGACTCGAATCATAGGAAATTGGTCATTTCTTTTATGTTGATCTTGTTTCAGTCTACTTGTACACTTGATTCAAATCAATAAATGTTCTTGACTCAAATAAAGCAACCATTTTCACTTATTTTTGTGCTTAATCTCCATCACATATAAATTCTTTTGTCATCTCATTTCATAACAATCAAGAACATAACAACAACTTCCATATTTTGAAAAACTCAAAATCTCTTGCAATCAAAATTTCTTTCATCTTTAACCTCTAGTTTGGATTCAAAACTTGATTATGAAGATTTATAATTGTTGAGGGAGACATGTCTTGAAATTAACATTTCTTGAAGAATTTGTAAATATTTTCAGGAGTTTTGCAAGATTGAAATTGTTGTAATTGGTGGTGGCAAAATATAGTGAAAAGAAAGAGGTTCCTCCTTCAAGGTTGACATTGGTAGAGTTGCGTGGAATCCTACAGACAAAGTAGGAGTTCTTCTCAATCTTCAGACAATTCACCGCTCAAGAAATTGGTGGAGTCAGGGGTGATTGACAAACATGAAGACTTAGAGCAGATTGGTGAAGCTGAAAGATTTAAGAAGTGAGAATAAAGTAAAGATTTTGCAGAGAGTTTGACATAAAAGCTGTATACAAGTCAAGATTCAGATATGAGATTTATTTCCTCAACATTATTAGGATTAGTGATTGTATGAACTCGTGTAATTTTTGTCAAAACATAGTGAAATCGCAACTTTCACTATCGTTAACTCACATTGGTAGTGATTTATGACATAAGTTTTGGTTTTTTTAGAATCAGAACCTATTTGTATTTTAGTGCTGATTAAATTCGGCAAACCGTGGTGTAGAATCCCATTGCAATTGATCTTTGTAAAGAAAACATCTCATGTAATTTACGAACTGTCAATTCATCGTAGCTTGTAACTCTTCGGATATAATCTCTAATCAATATGAGATAGTTGTTAATTGTGTAATTGTATTTGTGATTAATTTCCAATTTAAGCATAAAGTCTATATTTTTCGCTATAAGACTTCCACATCAAAAACTCCAATTTTTCATTTTGAAAACCGACCAATTTTTTTAAAAGGGTATGTTCACCCCATCTAGACCGTTTATCTACTCCATATTCTCACCCAATAATTGGCCATAGAGCTGATCTTTTAATCAGGTCTAAGCAACTCAAAAGTTTGAGAATATGGATGATGACAATTCAAAAGGAGCGTATGATAGAGCACCAATTTTTAAAGGAGAGAATTATGCTTATTGGAAAGAAAATATGTATGTACATTTACTATCAGTTGACCAAAATCTATGGGTAGCAGTTATCGACGATCATTTTATCCCAAAACACAACGACGACACTATTAAACACCCAAAGGATTGGACAAATGATGAAACAAAAAGAGCTTCATATGATTTGAAAGCGAGGTACATATTTATCTCATCTTTAAGCATGAAAGTATTTTACTATATTTCATCTCATAAAAGCACAAAAGCTATGTGGGACGCTCTTCAAACCTTTTACAAGGGAACTGAGGACGTCAATTATTTTAAGATCAACATGTTAACAAAGAAGTTCAAACTTTTCCGTATGGAATCAATGAAATCCATGCAGACTAGGTTCCTCCATTTAATCAAAAAACTAAAAAACTTAGGAAAGTCTGTTTCTTACATAGATTGTGCTAACAAAATATTAAGGTCAATATGCAGGGAATGACAACCGAAAACGAAAGAGAAAAGTAAAGAAGAGAGAATGTATCTTTCTTTGAAAGTTTCGGCTAAGAAATCAAAGGAAGAAAGTGATAATTCTGAACAAGAATATCCTAAAGAAAAAGAGATGAGATTATTTGTTAGATGCTATAGTCGATACTTGAAAAGAAACAAGCTCAAGCATTCCGACAAAACATTTGATAAATTTCAAGAAGACTCATCCACCTAAAAAAGAACATAAGAAAAAGAATGATGATGTAACTTGTTATGAGTGCGGAAAATCGGGACATCATAGAACTACTTGTCCAAGTCTCACTAAGTATCATAAAAATAAGGATAAAGAATTCTATAAAATAAAAGGCAAAACCACCAAAGTTCGTAGAGCCTATATCACGTGGGAAGAAGAGAATGAGAGCTCCTCCTCAGATTCCTACTCAATCTTGGATGATGAATGTGCTAATATATGTTTAATAGCCCAAAAGAAAAGTGAAGACTCAAAGATATATACTTCTAATCTTAAAAAATGATCCTACATATAGAGAATTATCGAAAGCATTTGATGATACTGTGGATTGTTTAAATGCTTTTAAGAAAATTTATCTTAAAAAGAAAATAATTTTAAAACATGAAAAGGATATTAATGATATTAATAGCGCTTTGGATTCCTTAAAACAAGTGCATACATCTCTAGTTGATGAGCGTTTTAATGTGTTTGACACTTTAGTTAAAAGCGTAGAAAAAGTATAGTGTGTTACTTGTCCAATTTCACTATCTACTACTAGTTCTACTTCCTCAAGTGATAAAGGTAGCGTTTTTAAGAAAAATCTCATGTTACTAGAAGAAATAGAAAATTAATCTAAATTCTTATGTCATTATTATGGTGATAAGAGTCACATTAGGCCTATTGGTCATATTAGGAATGTCCAAGTTCCTAGTGGTAAAATTACATGGATACCTAAGTGTTCCTTAACTAACCTCAAATGACCCACTAGTTGGGTACCTAGGTTGCCTATTAGATTGTCTATAGGAAAGTCTTATCTTCGTGAAAAAGTTATGGATCCTAGATAGTAGATGCTCAATACGTATGACAAAAGACGCCTCGATGTTCATCAAGTTTGATGAAAAAGAAAGCGGCCACGTCACGTATGGGGATAACATAAGAGGTAAAATTTTAGGAGAAGGTATTGTGAGAAATCCCTCCATGATCACCATAGAATACATGCTTTTAGTTAAAGGACTTAAACACAACCTACTTAGCGTTAGTCAATTATGTGACAAAGAGTACTCCGTGGTTTTTTATGCTCTAAGTTGCTTAATTGAGCATAAGAAAAGTAGAGATCTGTGCTTAAGTTTATAGGATTGATAACATCTATATGCTTTATTTGAAAAAAAGTGTCTGCAATTGAGGTTAAAGGAATTGAAGAAGAAAGTTTTCATATTGAAGAAGTTAGAAGTATGGTGAGGAGAGATCATTAAGGGCAGAAAAAGAGAGAAGCTAAAATTAGAATTGTTCAATGAATATAGTATTGTCTAACATTCGTGGATGTGGTAATTCAATCAAGAAGAAATTCTTTAAGAATCTAAAATAACAATCTTTATCCTGAAGCCCCAACTTTAAATTGTTTCACTAATCTAAAATTTTTCTTCCTCAACCAAATTTTTCAAGTAAGTTTTTAGTTGAAGTAAATATAAAACGTCATGATAAAGAGGGGAAACTATAACCCTTTTAAATTTTAGATTTAAGTTAATAAAAACATGATCTCTCAAGGAATTTTTAGAGAAGAAAACTTAGTGTAAATATGAGATAATATTTTATTATTGTGTATGTGTGTGCTCGCACGTGCTCGTGTGTTTTTTATTGATAGAGTAAATAAAGATAATAAAATTTAAGAGAGATCACACAAGATATTTATACTGATTCACTAACGTGGTTACTCCATTCCTCATAACCTGTAAGCTTTCTTTACTGATGTTTTAAATTTTTTTCTTCTTATGCGCCTTTTTAACTATGTATTTTGTTAGTCTCACTGGGCTTACTACACTAATTAATATAGCTTATATGAACTTAAAAAATAATTAAAAAACTTTATACGGTTCAGAGAGAGAGAGAGAGAGAGAGAGAGAGAGAGAGAGATTATAAGCATCAAAGAAGACTAAAACTTCAATATATGATAATTAGAAGTTTGTATTGAGTTCTTTGATGAAA